CCAGGTGCACATCACACACACGCACACACGCACACACAGGGACCAGCACCTCTGATCTCAGTCCCACCCCCCAGGCCACCCTTTCATCATGACCGTGGGCTGCGTGGCCGGGGACGAGGAGTCCTACACGGTTTTCAAGGATCTCTTCGACCCCATCATCCAGGACCGACACGGGGGCTACAAACCCACCGACAAGCACAAGACGGACCTCAACCACGAGAACCTCAAGGTGGGCTCCCAGCCGGCCGCGGGGCGAGGGAGAGGCCAGAGAGGGGGCCGCGACAGACACGGGGATGGGGAGACGGGGAGGGGGAGGCCGGGAGGGGAGGGGGGAGGCCGGGAGGGGCGGGGGGCTCAGAAACAGATGGAAAAGGGGGACAGGCACGGGGGGGGGGTGCCAGCAGTGGGCGCGGGGACAGGGAGAAGGCAGATCCACAGGGAGCCGCGGGAGGGACAGACGATGGAAGGAAGTTTGGAGACGACCAGGACCGAGGCGGCCAGGAGGAGGGCGAGGGCGGAGGGGAGGGCCCAGGAGGGAGGGGAGAGGCCCGCCCTGGGGGTCTGGGCTCGCGGGGGCCCTGACTCGCCTCCTGCCGTCCAGGGCGGAGACGACCTGGACCCCAACTACGTGCTCAGCAGCCGCGTGCGCACCGGCCGCAGCATCAAGGGCTACACGCTGCCCCCGCACTGCTCCCGCGGCGAGCGGCGCGCGGTGGAGAAGCTGTCGGTGGAAGGTGAGCGCCGCCCGGGCCAGCCTCCCGCTCCCGGGCTCCAACAGCGGGGGCGTCGCCAGTGACGGCTGACAGCGTTCCCTGTGTCCCGGTGGTCCCGAGGGGTCCCGAGATGTCCCACCCCAGCGTCCCAGGGTCCCCACATTCTCTCTGGTGCAATTTCTAGTTGCTCTGGTCCCCGTGGGAAGTGAGGGGAAGGAGCCCAGGGCAGGCTGGGAGGTGAGGGGAGCACCCTGAAAAAGGAGGGGTTGAGACGTCCTTGGCAGGAAGGCACTGTGGGGAAGAGCTGCAAGCAGGTGGACAGAAAGTGCAAAGGCCCTGGGGTGGGACTGTGTGTTGCTGGAGCAAGGAGACAGGTGGGTTGACGCCAGGTGGCCAAGTGGGGAGCAAGGTTGGAGAGGTGCCAGTGGCCAGACTCTGCCCTCTGGGCTGCTGGGAGGGCTTTGACTTTGACTCAGAGCTAGGCAGAAGCCACTGGAGGGTGGTGTGCAGACAGGGACAGGGACACACTTGTGTAGATTCCTTGAGCTGTTGACCATGGGGGTGCAGGCAATGGTGGCAGCAGAGACTTTGAGGGGCCAGTCCAGGGTGAAGAACAGGCCAGGGCAGGGGAAGCACAAGTGTGTTCCCAGATGACACCGCCAGGACCTGCAGGAGGCATGGTTCTGGTAAATATTTAACCGCTGGCTCCATAGGCAGGAAAAGTCCTGTTTTTCAGGGGTTTTCTGTGATCTAAATTCTCTTACCATGACTAATCGTGAGCTATTAATGTGACGTCATACACAGACGAGATGCACAGAGTAGGTAGTATTTCCAGCACACAGACAGAATAGTGAAAAACTTCAACAATACAGAATATACGCTTAACAGCATAATATATAATATGTAATGTTATTATGTTATATGACATGTTATGTTAATATATAAATATAAAATATATACTATAGCATAAAACATACTATAAAACATATATAACAGGTTATATGATATATATTATGTTACATATTATTTATTGTTTTATATGTTAAATGTACTATACATAGTACATTTATACATATAATAATGTATAAAATGCATCTAGATATTACATAAATACATATTTATGTAATATATATTATGTAAATAATATATACATAAATATACATGTATACAAATCTATTCCTTACATAATATAATTTACACATGTGAATATATACAAATAACCCACAGGCAATCTTAGACTGTTACTAATGGCTCCCCAAACCCCAAGGCTTAGCCCTCTGTCTTCCCGCAGTGCAGAGCCCCTGCAAGTGGACTGGGTGGGACTATCTGTCTGCTCCTGGGCCCTGGGCAGACAGGGGAGGGACAGATTGTGCCACAGTCACAGTGTTTAGGTGCCTTCAGGACACCCATGGGGTCGAACCCCTCAAGGGTGGCAGTGTGGGGTCCCCAGCCTCCACCCCGGGTTGAAGGGGGTCAGGCTGTTGACCAGTGCCTCCTGTGGCCCCTTAGCCCTCAACAGCCTGACGGGCGAGTTCAAGGGAAAGTACTATCCTCTGAAGGGCATGACCGAGCAGGAGCAGCAGCAGCTCATCGATGACCACTTCCTGTTCGACAAGCCTGTGTCCCCACTGCTGCTGGCCTCCGGCATGGCCCGCGACTGGCCCGACGCCAGAGGCATCTGGTGAGCCCCTCCCACCCTCAGCTGCCTCTTGCCCCAGCTTTTCTTGCAGTCCCCCAGGATGCCCCCCTCCTCCCCCATGATCAAAGACAGTGACCCCCCCCTCTGCCTATCCTGGGGTTTGTGTGTCATATTTTGGGAAACTTGGACTAGAGAAGTGCAGTTAAAAATTCATGGACTTGAACCAGATTCCGTGGGCTCCAATCCCAGCTCTGTTATTTACTAGCTATGTGACCCTGGGGTGCCAGTAATCCCAGCTACTTGGGAGGCTGAGGATCCTTCAAACCTGGGAATTCAAGGCCAGCCTGGACAGACCTTCTAGAGAGGTGGGGGGGGGGGAGAGAGAGAGAGAGAGAGAGAGAGAGAGAGAGAGAGAGA